TTGTCTCTGGCGTGTAGGAGTGGTCGAGTGTATCTCCGTCAGTGCGGAGGGAGCGCTTTTCTGCTCTGTGGGTGATGATCAGGCCATGAAAGTTTTTGATGTTGTCAACTTCGACATGATCAACATGCTCAAACTCGGGTAAAATCTTGCTCTTCTGTGTGTAAATTTGCTTGTTTTTATCCATCCATGTTTTGCTTTATTTTAACACTTTTTTTTATGAAATTAACGTTTTCTATATATATTTTTTTTCAATAAAATGTTCTTAAATATTTTGTATTAAATATTTCATGGTCCTAGACAATACTTTTAAATTATACACCATTTATTTCTATATAAAATAATCCAAATATTTAAAAATAATAATAATAATACAGTTTTTAAGCAAAAATCTAGCAAAGGTATTTAAAATCCAGTGTATTGAAAGCAGTTTGGTGTCATCTGGTGGGAGAAATAAAAATAAAAATGTTTTGTTTTTTATATTTCTCACTCATTTCTAAAGATTATAAGTGTGATAATACTTTTTGAAGACCTTTTTGCCTTTTATAATCATGCCCGTGATTATTTTTGTTTGTTCATTTAGCACAGGGCTGTCCAAACTCGGTCCTGGAGGGCCGGTGTCCCGCAGAGTTTAGCTCCAACACTAATTAAACACACCTGAAGCAGCTAATCAAGCTCTTACTAGGCATAGAAACTTCCAGTCAGGTGTGTTGAGGCAAGTCGGGGCTAAACTCTGCAGGACACCGGCCCTCCAGGACCCAGTTTGGACAGCCCTGATTTAGCAAGTGCCACAAAAGTCACCAAGATTTGTACTATTCTGATGAAGTCAAAAAAAGAATTCAAAATGTAAAATTTTTTAAATCCGAGGATTAAGCAAGATTCTTTTTTTCCAGCTTCCATCCTGGCCAGTGCGAATGGATCTATAATCCGGGAGACGCCATCTCCACCGTAGCCTGTTCTGAGAAATCTTCTGGGAAGATTCTTGTATACGACGGACGGGGCAGTAATCAGCCCCTGCACACGTTTGAAAAGATGCACACCGCGCCACTGTCTCGGATCCGCCTGAATCCCAAGTATCGTGTCATAGTGTCCGCTGATAAGACGGGGATGTTGGAATACTGGACGGGGCTCCCGAGCGAATTCAAATTTCCACGGCAGGTGGAGTGGGAGTTCAAGACAGACACGGACTTGTATGAGTTTGCCAAATGCAGAACTTATCCCACCAGCTTGGCGTTCTCCCAAGACGGCAAGAAAATGGCCACCATTGCCACTGACCGCAAAGTCCGGATTTTCCGTTTCCTCACTGGGAAGTTGATGAGGGTGTTTGACGAATCATTAACTGTAAGTTAGTGTTTTATAATTATATTAATCATACATTCAAAGGTTAACAAATGCACATTTGGAAGAACTTTGTCATCTGTCGTCTCTATGCAATGGCAGATGTTCACGGAGCTCCAGCAGATGAGGCAGCAGTTGCCTGATATGGAGTTTGGCCGCAGGATGGCGGTGGAGCGAGAGCTGGAGAAGGTGGACGGCATCCGACTGACCAACATCATCTTCGACGAGACCGGACACTTTGTGCTTTACGGCACCATGCTGGGCATTAAAGTCATTAACTTGGAGACTAATAGGTAGAGAATACACAGCACACAATGAAATGCACCTCTTCTATAAAGAAAATCATTTTAATTTCTCAATTAAAATTAATTTAGCTATTTCTTAAGGGAGCATAATGTAGAATCTGTCAAGGTGGCACAACTGTTCCAATATCATAATGAAGAAGCTTTCACAAGAAGCTTAAGTAGTAATTATTATTTCTTATAAAGTATTTTAATAAAAATGATTCGATCATAGAGAGGACCTCTGTCAATCTCAAAATATCAGATGACTTGAATAACATGGCAAAATCACTCTTAAAAAACTGAATATTTCAATACATAATTTGATACTTGTAAAAAGTACTTTTATTCTAAAACACATTTTAAAACTTTTTTTTATATTAGATTAAAAATGTCAACTTTGTATTACATTTTTTCCACTTTTTTTTTTTTTCTCAGTGTAAAGAACATTTAAAGGTTGCATGTTAGCGGTTCTTCATGGAACCACAGATTGCAAATAAAGAACCTTTATTTTTTAGGAGTTAATGTGTAGGGAAAATGTTAATATGAATCTTTTCAGCAGTTCTGAAAGTATCTCTCTTTTACTGTGTGTCTGAAATGTTTTTGCTCTCAAGGTGTGTGCGGATCCTGGGCAAACAAGAGAACATCCGTGTAGTGCAGCTGAGTCTGTTTCAGGGAGTAGCGAAGGCCATGCAGGCAGCACCAACCATTGAGATGAAGGCCTCTGAGAACCCAGCGCTGCAGAGCACTGATCCAGACCCCACCATCTTCTGCACCGCCTTCAAGAAGAACCGCTTCTACATGGTGGGATTCCAGAAACTCACAGCATTTCAATGTTAACTTGAAACCTTGACATTGTTTTTTTTTTTGTTTGTTTTTTTATCTGTTACTTTTTGATAATGTCCAGCAGAATCTGTTGATTATAGGCGTGAGCTGCATTTATGTTGAAATAATTGTGGAAAAATCATTCTGAAATTGATTCCAACGATATTGTTCTTCTGTGTCGTTATCGTTACAGCCGCGGCGTGGACTTAATATTTCATGATTAAGAACAGTTTTTTTTAAAGGAATAGTTCACTACAAAATTACAATTTGCTGAAAATGTACTCACCCTCAGGCCATCCAAGATTTTTGTTTGTTTCTTCGTGGGAAACAGAATTGGAGAAATTCACTTTCTCACCAGTGGGTCCTCTGCAGTGAATGGGTGCCGTCAGAATGAGAGTCCAAACAGCTGATAAAAACAACACAATAATGTTTTAAACCATCATTTCTAGCTTAATTTTAGTCTGTAATAATGCTTCCTCCAGTGAAAAGGTTCATCCCCTGTTGTCTCTCACATCAAAATCCACCCACATATTTGTTTAGAACAGTTTTTTTCTGAATTTTTCTCTCCTGATTCAGACGAGACCACTTTTTCACTGGAGAAAGCAATATTTCATACAAACAGTTTTTCGCTTCACTAGAAAAAAAACCATCATGTTATTGTTAACTGATGGACTGGAGTGGTGTGGATTATGTTTTTATCAGCTGTTTGGACTCTCATTCTGACGGCACCCATTCACTGCAGAGGATTCTTTGGTGACGTAATGCTTAAAATTGAACATTTCTACAAATCTGTTGCCATGAAGAGACAAACTCATCTAGGTAAACTTTACAGTTATTGTTCTTGCTGTGAACGGGCCTTAATACTGTGTTTTTATTTTGAACAGTTCACAAAGAGAGAGCCGGAGGACACCAAGAGTGCTGATTCTGACCGTGACATCTTTAATGAGAAGCCGTCTAAAGAGGAAGTGATGGCCGTGACACAAGCAGAAGGGCCAAAAAGAGTGTCAGACAGTGCCATCATTCACACCACAATGGGCGACATCCATATCAAACTATTTCCCGTTGAGTATGTTTGTTTTTTTTTGGGGGGGGGGGGGGGGGGGTTTTACGTTT